ACAAAGGTGGAGACGAAGAGCGTTCCTGAAAGAGCTAACAAACCCTAACGTAATAAACAGTGTGACATATACTTTTTATCCCGTAGGTTATTGTCTATGTTTTCTTTGTTGACGCTGATGTTCCATAACTTACATATACTGTATATATTTGTTAACTCTTGCAGATACTGTCCGATTAGGCACTCATTCAGGTAAGTAATGAAAAACTTCCTACTGAATCTATTCTGTGATCATGAATATGACATGTGCATTTCGCTTATTCTTCATCATCCTCATGTTGCAGTTGTTCTTTAGTGATAAATCTTATTTACCATTATAGTTGTATCTTGAAAAACTTGTTGTGCTCTGATTAACAGCACTACCTTGGGTATATTTGCATATATGGATATTGAGATGGAGACCCAATATGAAGAACACGGCACAAACGTAATAGACAGTAGTAATCTAATTTTCTTGTTTATTTTGTGTGCTTTCTTTGCTTATGTGCAAACTCTGTAATTCGTAGCTAATACATGTTATATTTGATGTTGATTGTAGATACTGCGGGACAAGGAACACGATCTGGTAATTACTGAAACCGAATCTGTCTGATCTTGGATAACATATGAGCATTTCACTTGTTCTTCATCACAACCTTTTCATTGTTCTTTAATGTTTTATTTGCCATCGTCGTTTTCTAACATAACTGTCTATCACTGTCTATCGTTGTGCGCTCATATGAATCTAGAAAAATAAAGCTGATAAGTAATGAAAGTATATTTGCTGTGTATGGAGTAACTGTGAAAATTATTATTTTAATAACTAATAATATGAATAGTTTATTATTATTATTAAGGTTAATTGTTCATTTATTACTCAGTTATGACCATTCTACATATTATCCATCTTTTTATTTTCTTGTAAATATTTTACCAATGTTTATGTAATTAAGTTTTGAAAAATGATTTTTCAGATAACTATTTCTTTTGGACAAAAAAATAAATTTTACAATAAGAGAAATATATATAAATATACATTAAAAATATATATATTTTTTAAAATTCATAAAATACAAACTATCAAATTAAAAACTATTTTTTTACAGTTATTATAAATTGTAAGAATAATGGGCTTAATTATGATCAGTATTTTACTCTTTGATTTGTTGTTAATGGATATAACATCATAGTTACTTTTATATTTTGGTTTCCCACTTGTTGGTTAACTTGCCTTGAACATTGAATTGACCAATGAACTAAAAAAAACATTAGATAGAGAAAAAAAAACAAATTGATTTATAAATAAAAGATAAAAAGACAAAAATAATAGAAAAATCTTAAAAAAATGAATGTTCACTAAAATAAGTTCTTTTAATAAGAATTCAATTTTAAACATTCAAATTAATTATACTTATGACGTGCTTCAATCTTGAACTTTTCAAATATTTTAACTTTTGACATGACAAACAAAATTTAATAAAAAAAACAACATAAACAATCTTTCTTTTTAATGAATTAAAAGTATCTTAGGTATAATTTTACACGAGTTTTTTTTCAAGAAGTTGTCTTTCTTTTATTTTCTTAATAATGTTCATAGAGAAATCAATAAAAATCAAATATAATAAAATGAATGTCATGTACTGTTGGATTAGAAAACCATGTTACTCTAGGTAGATATGGTAGACAACAGTACAGTTTTTTATATGTAACTATAATTGGTTCCTTTATGGCACTCCCTTGTGCTAAATTTAACATTTTTTACACAATTTTCACTGAAACCTCTTATACAGTAAAATAAGAAACCTCCATTTTCCCAATTTGTTTTTCACATATTCCTTATTAAAATATATAGTATAATCACATTGTTTTAAAGTATGAGTTTTCAAAAAATTGTTTTTGTTATAGATGAAACTTAAATAATTATTGAATTAAAAAATATAAAGAAGGAAAGATGTTTTTTACTTATTTGCTTATTTATTATTAATAAAGAATTTTAGCACTAAGTTGTCAATATTATATATTCATTTAGTTTAAAATTTTAACTTCAATAATTTATTGTTAGTGTTCTTAATCATTTAAATTTAAATTATATCATTATTTGATAAGAATAGGAAATATATTTTACTTGAATAGAGTTTTTTTTTGTGTAATGAGTATTATTAAAACAAAATTGTGAAATAAAATGAAGAATAAATTTCTTACACATTATATAATTATTTACTTTGAAAAAAAGATATAACTTAAAATTTTAATTTTGATTTAATCATTCATGGATTCAATAATTTTAAAAAAAATCTATTAAATATATACAATTTCTTTTATATTGAATTATGTTTTATTTTTGTTATATTAGTAACAATAATAAAATATATAATTTTTAAGTATATTATTTTGAGTCCTTCAATAATGAATTTTCTGTTATTAAATTTTTTTAATATAAATGTTGGGCAGAAAATTAAATTGTCTCTTATAAAAAAAAACAAAACATTTAGAAGGAATGGGTAAGTTGAACTACATTAATTAAGGGGGGCAAATTAAATTGTACTTCACTACGGATTTGTTTAAACTGAACTAAAAATTAGTTTAAATAAATTAAACTACTTTTTTTTTCTTTCAAACTCTATTATACTACCTTATCATATTATTAAAATTAAATTAATAACTATAAGGTTTATTATTAATTTAAAGATATAATATAAATTTGTTTATATATTATTTTATATAGATTAAAAACTTAATCTCTAAAAAATGTTTTGTTTATTTTTGTTTTGCATTATTTGAAATATTTTTATTTTGACAATTATCTAGTTTAATACAAATGCTCTCATCTTTCTTCTCTTCTCACCTTTCTCTGAATTCTCTCTCTCTATATATATATATAATATTATATTTTATAATTATTTACTTGTATAAGTACTTTTATCCTTTTATTTTTACAATTATAATTAATTTTATTAAGTTATAAAAATAATTACCGGTTCTTGTAATATAACTACAATATAATAAAATTTAATTTTTTTAAATATATAATTATTTTAGTATAAATTTAATAACATTATTTTATTTTAATAATTATTATAATAATAGTTAACTTTTTAAGAAACTTAAAAAAAAAGTTTATTTGTTTATCCATATTTTATATATAGAGAGAGACGTGTCTTTATTTTTTAGTGAACTATAGATAAATATAATTCAGTTTTATAAAAGTAATTTAGTTTTTATAGATAATATAGATAATACATAATTTAATATAATTTAGTTAATTATGTCCGGTACTAACATTAATTATATCTCTTACATTAATTTGATTTCTTTGTTTTGTCAGGTAAAGACAGAAGATTTCAGCTCCTGCTCTATGTTTTCTACTGAAACAGCTACAAAACCTCCTCCTAAAACACCACCAAGAAACCCTCCTCCTGAAACACCGCTAAGACACATTCCTATCAGCTTCATGGGGTGTATAACTTTAATAGTGTTGAGCATAAAGTATATTCAAACGAAATTTCATTACATGTTGCTAGTGTCGAGTGGTGCTTTTCTAAAATTCAAAGCAGAAAAGCTGACGGCTCAATTTGATCTCAAATTGGAAAACTTATATGACACAGTAGTACTGTTGACCTTTGGGGAAGCCTTTGGATTGTTTATTCCAGAGATCACAGATAAAATGACAATCATGGTGGGTTTTCTTCTAATTTTGTTGCTGATTTGGCCACTGCAACCAGTGTATCAGATGTCTATCATGCTAATATTGATTTCTGAATCACTTCACTATATTTTTAAGTTGTTCGGCAAGTTGTCAGGGGTTGGTGTCACTTGCGGCGTTTTCAAACTTCCTCTCCTCTGGTTTACTACTACAGCGGCTTTTGCGCTTTCTCTCATTGTTTGTTTTATGATGTTGCTCATGATTTACCTTATCCAGAGATATGTAGGTGCAGGGAGATCAAAAGTGAGAGAACCTGATTTTACTTTCGAAGATTTTTCGGTAATTGTTCAAGGGATGGGTGGTGAAGTTGAATCATACAAATAGCTTTATGTCCTAGTTGATTAAGCTCTCAACAACAAATATTCAAAACTTATTACATACCTTAGTTTCGTTTATTTGCATGATGTTGAAACTCATTGCTTATGATCTGCGTGGTACTGAGTATTTACTATTTGTTGATCGATGACTATTGGAAATTTAGAAATTAAAATAATATATTATGCTATGTTTTAGAAAAATAAAAGTCATATTGACCGATAAGATTTATTTGGTATTTTCTAGACATTAAGAGTACTAATCTGTTAGTGGTTATAGATGTCAACATTTACATGCATTTACGTTTATAGTTATTTGTTTTATAAAAGCAATAGCACTCCTCAATAAAATATTAATGCAGTTTTATATTTCTGTGTTCCTCTCTCTCAACTTTTTCTTCAATAAAATAACCTACACTATTGGATTTCTTCAAGTCCAATAACTCATGAGCTTCGTTATTATTCTGCTTGTATTTATATCTTATCTTGCATGTATTTTATGAACCATACTGATCTTTTGTTGTTTTTGTGCATGACAGACCTTTGTGTCTGATAGTTTGTTTTGTGTGTTAGCTTTTTTGTCTACTTCCTTTTGTGTTTATCTTTGTTCTTTCATTTCCACGAAGGTATGAATTCTCAATATGATATCAGCATGTTGATCCTTTGTGCCTTCTTCTCCTTCTTCTTCATTATTTCTTGGACCTTCTTCTTGCTCTATCTTGTTCGTAGTTTTTTTTTCGTGAACAATGGGAACATTGATCTTTCACAAAACCCTTCAAGTTCTTACTTACATTCAAGTGAGAATCCTACTAATTCTTCTTGCTCCTCGTCTAAACGGAACAAATTATCCCTCATGAAGAAATGAACGTGTTCTTTTATCGATGACAACAATACAAAACTGACACAAGATAATTTTATGTTTGATACATTAGTATCATAGAGCTTAATTTAGTTATGTATCGCTTAATATTATAAGAGGTTGGTTTCCATTTTGTTATATACACAATTCTTTGTAAAATTTGAAAATACACAATGAAATAAAAGTATTTTCTAGTATAGTTGTAAACATAAACATAACATTTTATGCTGAATTACAAATTTTTTGGGTCATTTATTTTTCTCTCTTTTTACTATCTTGTTCTTAGCATGATGGTAAAAAATGAAGTAATATATATCATGGATAATTTTGACACTTCCCAGAGACACCGTATACATTGACAATGCACAAGAATTATGCAAAGATTCAAGGGAAAGATTTTTCAAAGGTAATTATTTTTGGATCTTTGATCTGGTACAAGAAATAAATTCGATAAACAAAGTAGAAAGAAGAGTTTATTATTATTATTAGGTTTAATAGGTTCGGAGGTCCCTATATTTGCGGGTTCGTTTCATTTGGGTCCTCCAATTTTAGAAGTGATCAATTAGGTCCCTAATTTAACAAAATTGAGTCAATAATACCCTTTCCGTTAAATGCAATGGACGGCGTTAACTTTTTAAACAGGTGGCATGATGAGGCATCATTTTATTTGCAGGTGGCAGAGTTTGAGCTTAATACGTGGCAGAACCAAGAGTGACGAGAGGCCTTCACAGATATTTTTTTCTCTTTCTCCGTTTTCTTCAAAGCTTTCAGTCTTTTGTGGTTCATCTTCTTCTCCTTCTCCCCCCCTCTCTGCAACACCCTGCTTCTCTGAATCCCTTTCTGTTAATCATCTGTCTTTCAAACTAAGATTTTTGGGTTTGTCTTTTAACTCACCAAGAAGCAAACTTAGAAGTATTTCTCGAAAGCCAGGTGTTTTCAGAAACGAGATCCAGGTTTTAGTGTCAAAATTCGCTAGTAAAATTTTGATCCCCTCCCCCATTTTTTTCCCTTTGAAACTAGTCAAGAGGGTTATTTTTGATCCCTCGAAGTTTAATCTTATATTAAGACCACAGGATCAAGGAGGTTGTCTATTTGAAATCTCCTTCATCCTTTCTTTGTAGAAAAAAGTTTTTTAGTTTTATCTTTGTTTTTTAGATCCGGTGTTTTAATTAACCAGTTGTTCTTCAGTTTTAGAAAGACGCAGGTTGAATTGATCTGATGGCAGCTATGATGGGTTTTTACAACAGCACAGAGTTTCAGCTTCCCTCAGATCCGTTCAGGGGTGAACTAATGGAAGTTCTTGAACCTTTTATGAAGAGTCCTTCCTCAACCCCTTCCTTTTCTTCCTCACCTTCAAACTCCTCTTTTCCTTCTACTTCTTACTCTCCTTCTCCCATCTACTTCCCCTCTTCACCCTCCTTCCCTGTTATGTACTCAAACAACTGCTCAGCATCGATGACCCATGCATTTGCCGACGGGTTATCCCTATCCAACACCCAAAACATCATAGGCTTCGCGCATGGACAACCAACGTCTCTTCTCGGCCTCAACCACCTAACCCCCTCTCAGATATCTCAGATCCAGGCTCAAATCCAGACCCAGAGCCAGCAGCAGCAGAATCCCAACACCCTCAACTTCCTCGGGACCAAGCCCATCCCCATGAAGCACGTGGGCATGCCTCTGAAGCCCACGAAGCTTTATCGAGGGGTGCGGCAGAGGCACTGGGGGAAGTGGGTGGCTGAGATCAGACTCCCCAAGAATCGGACAAGGCTCTGGCTGGGAACGTTCGACACCGCCGAGGAAGCCGCTCTGGCGTACGACAAGGCCGCGTACAAACTCCGAGGTGACTTCGCCAGGCTTAACTTCCCAAACCTCCGTCACCAGGGTTCCTCGGTGGGCGGAGGCTTCGGGGAGTACAAGCCGCTCCATTCCTCCGTTGACGCGAAGCTTCAGGCCATATGCGAAGGCCTGGCTGAGATGCAGAAACAGGGGAAGACCGAAAAGCCTCAGGGTTCGTCGAAGAGGTCACGGTCCAAAGTGGCTCCTCCGCCAGAGAAGGGTGATTCTGAGAAGGGTTCGGACGACAACACCAGCAACAAGTGTTGCAAGGTGGAAGCTTCCTCGTCTCCTGTTACGACGGAGAGCGAGGGGTCTGAAGGTTCTTCGCCTCTCTCGGATCTGACGTTTGCCGACGTGAGCGAGCCTCAGTGGGAAGGTGATTCAGATAGTTTTAATCTCTATAAGTACCCTTCTTATGAGATCGACTGGGATTCTCTGTGACGAAGTGTTCGGAAATCAGAAGACTATGTTATGTATTGAAGGGTATGTATGATGCGTGGTCTAGTCTAGTATATTTGTAGGTGTTAGTGTCTCTTTCAGGTGGCCACTGCAATGGAGTTTTTGGCAATTGCAGGGCTAGTTTTAGTTGAATTACTATTCTGTCAATATCTTGTATAATCTCTTTCCACCTTGGGTCAGCTGAATTTTTTCTTGCTTGACCTGGGAGAATTAGTCCAGTTATGTTTCAAGACTTACTTAATGGAATTATTATATGAATATGTAGCTGAGATGAATCTACTTGCCTTTCAGCTTATCAAATATCTCCACATTATCTATAAAATATGATCGCTATTCATCGACATCCATCCGTTTGAGAGATATACATCCATGCTAATGTCCCCGCCGTCATAAATAGTCTGTAAGGAGGATCACCCCACTGCATTTTTAAGCTCTAGTTTCAAATTTAACATGGCACCAACAATACATAATTAAGGAAAATATTTTTTTAACTTTTTTTTTGATAATTTTTTACGGTGGTAGCATGTGATGGGAAATACCCTTTACTTTATTCTAGAAATATTATCATCATTTTATAAGTACTTTTTCTAGATTTTATAAGGATTTGTTGATCTTTTCTTAAATGATGAAGAACAAAACAAGTTTCATTTATCAAATTCTTTTTTAAAGGGGTAAAAGACTAATATTCCTAAGGTCAGAGTTATAAAGATATTCTTAAATTATTAGTAATTGTATAAGCTTAGTTTCTTTCTCACAGTAATAGATATGAAAATTTAAGTTTGAGCCAACGAATTTTAACAAGTAGATCTTGACATTTCAAATGTGACTTGATATATATTTTATGGAAGGATGTTATTTATAGAAAACTATGAAATTTATACCTATTGAAAATCTCAAAGATATGAAATTCAAACTGAAATTGATATTTGTTAGAAATTATGAAATTTTGATTTTGATATTGCTGACGTTATTGAAAAAGTATATTTTAGTGAATTGTTTGAAGTTTAGATAATTGTTAAAAAAATTGATTGGTTTGGGTTTAAATTTGGTTTTGATTTAAATTTGACAGTCCTCGGGAGATATATTTATTTAAGAGTTTAATGAGAGTGAATGCTATTTTGACTTAATTTAGTAGTCGAAATTTGCATAATTGTAATATTGAATTTAGACAAAAGTTTCAAACATTTTTGAACAAATGATATATTTTTCTTAAACAAAATTATTGTAAAAAATCAATATTTGCTCTCAGTATCATTTTCGTTAAAATATTTTTCTCAAGTAAAGAAGAGTATAAAGTCAACCTTTCTCTCTGATAAATTTTTCCTCAGACGAAACAATTTTCGCTCAAATTATTAAATTTTTCCCAGAGCTATTTTTTTTATTTGTTGTGTGTGTGTGTTTTTTTGTGATGATTTTTCAAGAAAAAATGTGTTAAGATATTTAGATAGGGTATTGAATTTGAGATTTTGTATTAGATATTATGAATTTATATATTAGACTCAAAGAGTAGAAAGTAAGGAGATTCTTATAATAGTTTGCGTTAAAAAATATAATAGTGTTTTGTAGATCATATAAATTTATCTTGTCACAAATGAATTATATTTTTATTATTTAACTTTATTATGGTGGCAAAGGATAATAGCTGCATATCTATGAGTCTAATTTAACACCTTTTTTATGTATATGATATTGATTTTATATGATTTATGACATGATTGATAATCAACCACTCAGGCTTTCTTCTTTTCGATGTATTTGCGGAGATGATCTTGGCAGATGATTTGAATGAATTTGAGGATAATTTTTTAATTATTTTTTGAGTGGATTTATGGATAATTGAGAGTGGATTTGGAAGTAAAGTTTTTGAGAATTAGTGTAGGATTTGATTGATGTGATAGATTTTAAAAATTAATTTAATTGATAAAAATTAAAGATTACCAAAATGCCCCTAGTCATGCAGCTGTA